TATCCCAAACGACCTTTTTTATATGGATATGCGGGTTTTGACGCTCTATCCCGATTTACAACACTCACTTTCTTGAAATTCTCGTCTCTTCTTTGGCCCAAAAAAGCAACCCATTCTTCGGGTGTAATGAAGCTCTCATATTTATTTGGTCGTTCAAGATCCTCTTCAACAAAATTTCCTTCATCGTCTTTAAGAAACTTATTTGTCAAAAAATTTCTCCACCCTCTATGTCTTTTTTCGGCCAAGCCCATTATATACTTTTTGCGGGCATCTTCAATGTTAAAAGACCTCTACAAAAAAACATACGCATAGAGGGTGTTAGTATATGTAATTTAAAAACAATATTTTCGTCAAAATAAAGCAAATAACAACAACCATATATGATACCTTTATCTCGGTCCAAATTCTTTCTTTAGCATCCAACTCTCCTTTTTTCCAGCTAGGAGTGGTGATCGGAATGTGCATACGAACAAGCGTACCGATGTAGCTTGTCAGCTTTGCAGAATTAGGCCCAATTAGTTGGTCATCATTATTCCAATCTACATTATACTTAATACCTCTATCTCTATCACGGATGATTCCCCGCATGATAGTTATGCCTCATGTGATGTCCTTATCTGAAGTGTCTTGTGGAACATTATCTTGTGGAACATCTCCTTGTGGAACATTTTCTGAATTATCTTGTGGAACATCTCCTTGTGGAACATTGTGATACATTTTCTGTCAAAACGCAAAGTATACACGGAATGAATCCGTATCAAGAAAATGCAACATACGAAAGACAATTTAAGACAAATTCATCACAATATATACCAGTAATTTGAGGAAGAAAGTTACCTCTCAGATGTTTCGAACTCTAAGAAACGCGGAGAATGAGCGTCGTACGTCGAACTAGGCCGGGAAACGCTGCAAATTCATAGAATGTTATTCAATATTTCAGATCGATTGTCGAAAGATATATACTATTTTAACATAAAGGTTCACAATAAATGTCACATATATATTTTCAATGTTTGGGAAAGCTATGACAATAATACAACACAAATATTAGAAATAGTGAATTCACAAAGTCAACATAAACCCACAAATATAATCCAAAACACAAACCATTTCAATGTTACCACCAAAATTATGTAGCATGCACCCGGAGAAATAAAACATACATCAACCCACAAATAGGAAACATATAAATAAAAAATAAGTAGAAAAAGGATAGTGTTAGATTTGTAAATACATAATTAAAAGATATTTGAAAAAAGGGAAATATACATAATTCTATATACATAATTCTATAGATACAAAGCATTACAAAAAAGGGAAATAACAATTATAACTAAAAGATATTTGAAAAGATGCCATGTAAGGGACTTTTATATCCATTTTCATATGTTTTTTTACCTTACAATCTCCGGAGGCATTTGATGACCAAACTAAAAAATGAATGTTTGGATCAAATGTTTGTTGGCAAAATGCTTATAAAAATCTATTTGCCGGATGTTCTGAGATTTTGGCTACTAATGATAAAAGATCTAGATTAGTTTGGCATTTAAGTGATTGTTTTCAAAGAGATTCTGGCAGGCCTTCCTTTCCTCACTGTGACTCAAAAACACCGATTGCTAAATGTCTGAGAAACTTAGATGATCTTGCTCATAAGGTTTATCTCGAATTCTACCTCGAAACCAACTCCATTTGCTATCAACTACAGTTAAGTGAAGTTTTTTTTTTTTCTTTCAATTTCTAATATTATTCAATAATTCAATTTTTTTAAAGAGTGACTCTTTGATGTTTTTGCCTCAACTTGAACTAAGTTTGTATATTTGTACAGGACACATGCATTTAAACATGAAACTGAGAGACTTGTAACTGAATTGAAAAATTCTGCTCAATATGTGGAGGACAAGTTAGATAGCATTGAAGAGAAATCAGATTGTCTATTACAAAACTCAAAACAAATTTCCGAATCTCTCGAATCAGTTAATAGTCACACACAGTTAGTAGCACAAACTGTCAAGAATGTGGAAGGCAATATTGATGTGGTATTAAGACATTCCAAGAGTGTCTTATGAGCAAACTACGGAAATGAGAAGAAGAAGAAACTAAACGGTCAAATAACGGAACAGATAATGGAAGAAGAAGAAACTTACCAAGATGGACAAGAACGCAGTGAACGGCGGCGACGACTGAAGAAGAGGGAAGAACGACGGCGATGAAGGAAGACGAAGCAGCAGTGAACGGCGGCAGGAATGAGACGAACGGTAACAGGAAGAAGAAATGAAGAAGACGAAGAAATGAACAAGTGAGGGCAAATTTCGTATTTAGGGATATAGGCTACGAAAGCGCTTTTAAAAGCGCTTTCTAAGACCCATATATGAGAGCGTTTCTGAGGTAAAAAGCGCTTTCGTATGTCCCCCATATAAGAGCGCTTTAGAAAGCGCTTTCGTAGGTCCCCCTTTCAGAGCGCTTTTCAAAAGCGCTTTTATAGGGCCACCTATAAGAGCGCTTTTCAAAAGCGCTTTCGTAGGTTAGATATTTCAAACACCTATGAAAGCGCTTTCTGAAAAGCGCTTTCGTAGGAAACCCTATAAAAGCGCTTTTTTTAAGCGAATTTTTTTTAAAGGCTACGAAAGTGTTTTCTCTTAAAAGCGCTTTCGTAGATGCGTTGCCAAAAATTGTTTTTTTCGTAGTGAAAAACACTAATTAGGGCACAAAACGGTATAATGCGTTTCTGTCAAAACACAAAGTATACACGGATTTAAAATAAATTTGAGTTCTAAAAAATCAATTCGGAGAAAATATAAAAATTGATCTAAAGTTCCAACATAACTAAGGAATACCATATCATAAGTAAGGGTAGTTAATTACGGTTCGGTTCAGCAAGTTATGGTTTGATTAACTATGGTTTCAGTTCGGTTATTGAATTGTTTGATGACATGTGGTTCGGTTCATAAACCATGAATAACGGTTCGATTATTTAAAAACGGTTCAGTTCGGTTCTGTGGTTCAGTTCTGTGGATTTTTTGAACACCCCTAATTATGATTTATTTTTTCTTCACATTATCAATACCATAACCACAAGTTCACGAATCTCACTACACATTATTTGGCTGCTGGTAATTGCTATTTAGTTAGCAGGTGATAAACAAGTTTAAAAAAATAATATGCTTTTATAAACATATTAAAATTGCACAATAAATAATCACATGTTACAAAATTGAACTAGTTTTGTTTTTGACCATAGAGGTTTACTATAGTAATACAAAACTTGGAAGCAAAGAAATAGAAAGAGCAAGAGTTTCTCACCGTAGTGCCTGCGACCAGGAAAATTGCACTAGATAAGCTTCCTGTTAATGTAAAAAAAAACATGAATAAGTTAAATTCACACACAAAAGCACTTATCCTTTAATTTTTAATTATTAATTTTTCTGAAAACCTATAGCAGCACTTTAGGCATAAGCACTGTCTATGTGGCGATGTCTAAAGTCAATTTTGGCATAGTGGCCCGATGTAATAGATAGCGAAAAATATTTTTTTCATATTATTTATATCATTGCAAATAAATACTTGATGTAAAATGTTTTTAATTTTATTTTTTACATCGTATATTTTTATATTTGATGTAAAAACCTTTTCTCAAATGTCATTTTTTAGTAGTGTCTCCAAGAAGATAGCTGACTTCCATATCTAGACGATGTTATTTTGCATGACGAAAGGATGCAACGAAACAAAAAAGGTCGCCTAATCAGTATTCGCATTAGGACTGAAATAAACACTGTTGAGAAAATAAAAAGACGATGTGAAATCTGTCAACAACCTATATGCGCAAAAAATGTGTGCATCGCCTCAATAATGCAGACTCATCTAACTAATTATACCAATATATATGGTTGTACCGATGTATTATTTATTTATAAGTATTTAAATTCTTTAATTAATATTTTATTAATTAATTATATATTTAAATTATTTTTTAAACTATTTCTAATTAATTAATAAAATTAAATAATAAAAGTTTATATTAAATTATATCAGAAAATAAAAAACGAGTTAAAAAAAATATAACCCTTCCTACCATTTGAAATGACACAAGTCTACTGACTATGTAAAGGTTGGGACCCTCGCGTCATTTCAAATGGCGCAACCCCTCTGAACGTCGCATTTTGAGAATATTTTTTTAAGATAAAGCATTTTGGAAATTATAATTCATAGATGTGGCAACTTGGAAAAAAATTCTAAATCTTACATGAAAAAATTAAATAAACACTCTTAAAAGAAATTATTTTTATATATCTACGATGAAATGCATAAGGATAGAAGAGTAAATCAACCAACCACTACGCCAAATAAGCTATTTAATAGCGCTTTTTTTTTGTTTTTGATAGCGCTTAAAAGTGCTATTAACCGCGCCACTATTGTAAATATTTCTTATTTAATAGCACTTTAAAAGCGCTATTAAAGTACCAATTTATAATAGCGTTTTAATTAAAGTGCTATCAAAGTCAGTATTTTGCATGTTTTTTGTTTGTTTTTTTATAGCACTCTAAACAAAAAGCGCTAATATATAACATATGTTTGATAGCGCTTTCAAATAAAGTGCTAATAAATGGTACATATTTGGTACAATATTTTTAATAAGTACAGTACAATATTTTTTCTTACACAATCATTTTTTTTGGTGTAAATATAAAATAACTATATTCAATTCAACACAAATAACGCTTTAAGTTACTCATTGCATATATATTATGATCCATCAAATACCAAATAACATTTTAAATTACCAAATCCTATTGTTTCCAAATATCATAACATATAGAATATTAAGAGGGCGTTTGCATAGCCAAATTTGTAGATGCCCATCTATGAGTACTTCAATCCAAATCCAAAAACATACAATCAAATTCTCTAAACAAAACACCAAAAAAATAAGAAAGGATAACAAAACAATCCCATGTAGTAACCACCTTCATGATCCAAAAGCGTTGAACTCATAGATACAATCACTAATTAGGCAAAATAATTGCTTCTTGTTTTCCTGTATCATAGAAGGAATATTGATTATGTATTGTACAATAAAAACTAATTCAACATATAAAGAATAATCAAACATTTAATATGGGTCTAACAAGAAGCGCATAAAATAAGGAATGATTATTATAAACTAATAACAATAAATCGATATAACTAATGCAATAATTGAACTAATTAAGTCTAACAAGAACATGACTTGTAAATATATAGACCACAATTTCCATTATTAGATGCATATAAACACTAAACAGAATATAATTCAAATTCTCAAAATATACATCAACACAATTAAAAGAAGTTTAATTGAAGTTAGTTGTCCAACCGCTAGCACATGTCGAGTTTTTCAACTTTTTGACTGCATCGTCCACAGCATGTATAATCATTTTCTTCACCTGTTACCATATTACCGGCAATCAGGAAAAACAATTCACAAAATCCCACATGAAACTATTGACATTACAATACAACAGAGTAACACAAACAACAAAATAGATTGACAATCAGGACTTGAAACATTCAACAAGGATTTAATCTAAATCAAAATAGTCCCAGGAAGGTAGCTCAATTGGCGAGCTAAGGGACATGAAGGAGTTGCAAGAAGGAGGCCCAGGGTTCAAATCCTGGAAACCAACATTCACCCACCCCCACTGACATTTTGGTTATAAAAAAAATCTAAATCAAAATAGAAACGTTTAATGACAGAACCATGTAAAGTACATGAAAAAGCTAAGCTACATTAACACTAGATATTACAATAGAAAAATAGAAATTTCAAAACCAACAACAAACCTTTGTCTTTTACAATTTGTTTTCATGATTTTTCAGAGAGCAAGAAACAAGCAATGAAACAAACAAGGTGTTCAAAAGAAAAAGTAATTGAGAAACTAATGACAAAATCAAGATGCATTATCTGAATATATTGGATAAGCATATGAACAGAAAAATCCAATCTGGAAAAGCAGTGTTTGCATACCTGCAATTTGTCCTCGTTGGACCCGTGATTTTTCGGAAGTTTGCGGAATTCTTCTGTCAAACGGATGCACTCACCAACATTTTCAGGTGAGACAAAATCAAGTGCAACCTTGGTGCATGACTGCAAAAGGACAATGCATATCATTGGAATTTACACAAACATTTCAAGTTGATGCTTAGAAATCTGTCGTGTCTAACTTGCCTATTGACCATTCCAAATTAGGCTTGGCCAAACTTAGTAAGAATATCAATAGTGACTCTGTTGAATGGCCATTCAACAATTGGACAATAAAAAATGCCATAAGCCAAGAACTACTCATGCACTGGAGGAAACAAATATCTGACTACCTATATAGTAAAAAAAAAGTATATGTTTAGTGGGAATGTAAACTTTACGTTCAGATTTCTGACTTGATGAGGACAACCAGCTGGAATGAAAACAGCATCTCCTAGCTTCTGAGTGAAGGTCCAGGGCTCAATTCCTACAAGTCAATGTCAAACTATCAACAAAATTGGTACAATTTGACTAACCAAACAAGTCCAGCCCCCAAACAATATAGGAAAATCTGTATAATATTACTAACCACACTCCTGCTTAAGCTTCTTCTTATGCTCCATAGTCAGATAAAATGTCTGATCATGGATGGGGTGAGTAACCTACATAATCAATGAATATTTCATTCAAGATGCATCCTAATAAAACTGACTGGTAACAAGGGCATCCAGATAGAAAATGCAAAATAGTGGTAACTGATTTACCTTCGTTAAAGGATGGCAGTCAAAATGACTAAACTCTCCGAAATGCTTGTATAAATATCCCTCTAATATAGGTACATCCTTTCTTCGAAAAATATCCCAGAGAGCACCATCCAAAGAATCCACTGCATCCAATAAACTATCTCCTTGCTCCACTGTACCTTTTTCAACTTCTTTGAGCTTAGACCCAGATGTGCCATCATCATTAGCCTCCCCATCCTGATGAATATCATGTAATTCCCTCTTGTCTTGCTCAAGGTTCTTTGGCATCAATTTCTCAATGGCAGTAACATTCTCAGAACCCAATTTCACTTTAGCAACATGAGTCAACACGTTTACCTTAAAATGCCAGATTCCAACAAAAAAAATCAGAATACATCATTTGATTAAAAAATAACAATTTTTTCACAATAATTGCAAATAAATTCTGCAACAAAAAAAAAGGCCATGAAAGACAACAAGAATTGAAGCATACTGCATCAGACATGTCACAATGGAGCTTTGTCACAGAATCACCGCGCCCAATCTCCTTAGCAACTCCATAAGCAATGTATGCTTTTGGCCCCATGTCTGGCTTCAGACAACCATCAGGCAACTTCACGGCAAGGTTAAGAGAACCACTTACAGGATGTGTGTATTCTTTATACGGCAAGTAAGATACGAAGTTCTTAAAATGAATAGGTAAACATTCCTTAAATGATTCAGAAGGAGGCCAATCTTTCAACTTCAACATGTGAGGCTGTTTACTTGAATGCATGCAATCATTAGCGTACTCAGTAAAGAACTGGTTGATTGTAACTTCTTCCTGCACTCAATCAGCAACTCAAATTAAAAATGCAAAAATTACTATTTACAGATAATAGAACAAACCAGATAAATGCATTTAACTAATATGCTTGTTATCATACATAGCATAATTTTTATTTTGGGAAATCTTTGCCAAATGTGTGGAATTTTTTTTATTTTTCTCGAGAATGATAATAACATTGCATGTCAGCCAAAATACCACAATGTTTAGATTGAGAAATCACACAAACCTCGCACAAACTTAAGCAATTAATGGCCTTCACAGTCTCATGCTTCTGACTGATTGCATGGCTCATGTGTGATGATTCCCATAATAATGAACTAAATGTACCACCTCCAAGCAGGTTCCTGACAATTACTGGCTCCCCTTTTCTCCAGTGCCATTGAAATTGTAGTAAAACCTCAGGATATGCAATTTTAGCCTCCGGGCAATATATATTGTTGTCATTTGACCCTTCACGAGATGCTGCCTTACGATTCAAACATGAATGCAAGTTCTTATAAGTCTCGTCTGCAATCATAGGCTTGTGATGCTTGTGTTTGTCTACAAGTTTTTCTGCTTCATCTAGCAAATCAGTAATGTGATTTGGAGGATAGAAGCTTCTCAGTTCAAGAACCCCTTCACAGAAAACTATGTCATCACTATCCACATCCCAATTAGATCTTGGCCGTTTGTGAACCCCAAACTTGGCAGTAACATGTGACTCAATCGGATCAGCACCACCTCGAAGCTGCGCATCACAAAAGTCACGACAACAGGCGAGACAAAAGTCAGATTTGCATGTCTGACAGTGTTTGTGGAGGGCAAATATTGACGTCTTGCAGTTGTCACTACAAAAAAAAAAGGGGTTAAGTAAACAACTATAAAACATAAGGATAACTACAAGACAACAATAGATTAATAATTCCCAACCAGTACGACCGCTCTCCATCCGAGTCATCTAGCTTTGCTATACTTAGCTCTGAGAGTGAGAGCCCTGTAATGTATATCCCAGAAGCAAATTAAAAACTGAACATATATGGGATGAAACTAATAATTCTTAGGAATTAGTATTAACTAGGGCATAAGATGAGAGATAAATTGGACCTATAATCTAACAAAACATACAATAAAAGTAGTAAAAAGCAGGATATCAAATAGATAAGTAATCCAAAGGCCAACAGTCATAGGGTTCAAAAGTCAAAGTTTATCAAAGTTTATAAAACAGACAATTCTACTGGAACACATATACACTGATCAAATTTAACTCAATATCAGCATCTGTGAATAGGGCTCTGGTGAGATGAAACGGGTGAGTATATTTTAGGTGTGGTAGCTGGGATTGAGTTTGGGCTAGTGGGTGGGATAGATGATATAGGAACAGGAGACACGACTCCAAGAGGAGAGGTGGAGGGTGTGGAGGAGGGTACGGGATTGGACGATGAAGGTAGTTTAAGATAGTTAAAGGGAAATACATACTCATTGAACAACACATCCTTAGAGATGAATAACCTTCCAGATGCATCAAGACATTTGTAGCCTTTATGCGATGGTGAATAGCCAAGAAAAGTACACTCTGAGGACCTGAAATGCAGTCTATGATTGTTGTAGGGTCTAAGTAATGGAAAACAGGCACAACCAAATACTTTGAGGAAAGCGTAGTTTGGCGGTGTTTTAAACAAAACTTGGACAGGGATCAAATTAGTGTGTGAGGCAGGCAACCTGTTAATTAGATAAACTGCAGTATGGAATGCATGATCCCAAAAATGATTTTCTTCTGCACTCAACTCAGATGGCATAGCACTTATATCATTCAATTCCCACTAGATATCAATTCCGCCTCTCATAAACTCAACATGAGTTCCTTCTCATTCAAAACCATACTCATGGGCTGGTCTCAAATACAACTCTTTCCACCGTGTAATCTCTCTCAACATTGATATTTACGATTAACTAGGACTAGAAATTGAAAATTGCACACAACTTCAACACATAGACCTTAGTTAAAACTAATTCAATGGCCAAATACCTTACACTTCATGCCACTACTCACAACTGCTCACATCAATAACCAGCTCATCTCTCACCATTCAGGCACACATCAATAACACAAGCCTTATCACTCAAATTTCACGAACCCTCACAACTGCAACTTAACCTCACAAACCCTCATTACAGCTACTCAAAATCACGAATATCCGTCAACACAAAGACATCATAACGCTCACAAACAACACAGAGAATCAACGGATAGCAGAAACTGAAAAAAGAAATATTACCGGATACAAATGAAGAGAGGGATAAAAACAGGACCAAGTCATGATTACGTTCTAAGGTTCAAACAAAAGGGTCTTCATATTTTATACTCACATGCCAAATTTATTTCCAAGACATTATTATAATAATAATTAATTTGACTTGTTGTAATAAATACTACAATATCACCATTTTATGATAATGAAATAAATTTTTACAGAACAATATCTCAATACCCAAATCAACAAGCATATTATATTTTGAAGTTGATACCTATTTATTCCTAAAATTCTAATAGCATACGCAATAACGGTTTTGGGTTGCAATTCCGCCACAAATAGAGGTCGCTACAAAGTCTTGCACCCAACCCTATCACTTTAGTATTTCACACTGAAAAATGTGTCAAAGGGAATTTGTGAGAAACTTAAACTATCTCAGTTATGCAACCTAGTATTGCTTTATTAGTGAGTGTAGTTAGTTTTTCATGTCATCACACAAAACAAAACTTCAGATTGTAGGGTGTAACCAAGGTCACATTACTTGCCAAGTGAAGGATTCTCTAATGCAGATTGAGCAGGATTTTTAGTTGGGACCAATTTCACAATTAGATATTAAGTCTTTGTTTAAAAATCCTAACTAGACTCTTACACCGCTTGATTGATTTCATTCCCTCCCATTTATAGTCAATGTAGGATTAAATCACTTACACTTGATCTCTAAACAATTCATCTATGACAACTAACTGCCAATGTATATTCAGTAGTTTTATACTATGAATCTCTGATTAAACTTATCACCACCTCTTCACCTTAAAACTGAGATACTATAGAAGAGATTACAAGAAAAGAAAAAAAAATGTAATTTACACATTTTTAATCTAATAATAAAGAGTTGAAACAGGACTGGGTTTCTTCTAAGCTTCAGTAAAACACAATCTGAAAAAACAGCCCAAAAAGTATTCTCTAACCTCTCAATTCCATCATCTTCTCCGGGAGTGTTCATTCTAAAGGAAGCAAATTATCATAATACTATTCCCTAAAAGAAATAAGCAATTTGAAAGGGAAACTATTAGAGGAGAATGAATAGTGTTATTGATGATTCCTCTTTCTCTAAGGTTGATAGAAAACCATGGTCAGAACATTTATCAAACACTTTGCGGGCAAACCAGAAGAGATAATGAGATTGATACAAGTGGGGCAAAGCTATAGAGAAGAGAAAAGAACGGAGAACGGTGGTGGATGACTTACCGGGAGTGACACGGATTGAGAGCGGCGGAGATCGGAAAGCTCAGAGACGATTGACAAGGAGGTGTCTCCAGTCTTGTTGTTTGGACGTGCAACTGTCAAAATCACCCATAAAGTTTTCTTAAATAGCACCAACACCCAATTTTCTGAAAATGTGTTTTTTTTTTTTTATCAATTAATTAATTAATTCATTATTATATATAACATAGCGCTTTTTAATAAATGCTATTATATAGGTAGTCAAATAATAGCGTTTTATACAAAATGCTATCTTAAAGAAGTTTAATAATAGCGTTCTGGTACAAAGTGCTATCAAAATTACATAGTCTTTATTATATAATAGCGCCCGATTAAAAAGTGCTATTATAAATGTGTTTTTTCCATTTTAATAGCATTTTTTTTAAAAGTGTTATTAAATTAGGTGATACAAAAAATCATTTTTGACATAGTGAACTTGAATAAACATAAATTGAAATAGCTGAAATAATTGAAATTTGAGATGAAAATATAACCTTTTTTTGTCACTAGCGTCTTTTCTATTTGTTTTTGTTTTAACCCTTCTATAGCTGAAATGACAAAGATGAACACTGATCAACTGCAATGGTTGAAGGGATGAGAGATAAAAGATGCATAGGCCAAATTGTTAGTTAAATAACTATGGTTTTACCCAACTAATCTGTTTTAATTTTTATTTTTACACAGTCAAATCAAACATTGTTATAAGCCTTTTTACATTATAAAAATCAAAACAGAAAATATTAGCATTAAACTTCAGAAGAAATACCTTATAAGATTTATCAAAGAAATCACAGTTGATATAAAAGCACATGGTAGATACAGATCAAAATAATCATATGCCATCCTCTTAGCAGTTTATAGCCTCCTAAATCTTGACCACTTCACTGTACAGAGAAAAACAATCATATGTTATGGATAAATTTCCTCGAATCTATTCTTTGGAATGGTTCTCTGGTTGAACCTAGTTGTGTTTCCTTGAGACACTCACTTATTCATTTTAATATGTGGTTGGTGAAAGTGTATTATAGGTAAGTGGTTGGTTGGTTGGTACTGTTTGAATTTATTGGAAGTAATGTTTTTCTCTAGGTAGCAATAACCTTATAAATGTTTTTTTTAATACAAGAATAATACAATGAGAGGGAGGGATATGGAGATATATGAGAGAGATATTGAAGAAAAAGAAAGGAAGTTGAAAGGACCCTACTCCCTAGTGTCTCTGTCTGTGATATTTACACAGCAATGAAGTCAAAAAGAAATCACGTATTATCCGGGATAAAGGATACTCTCACAGGGTAAGATTGGCATATGACCAATCTTGACCCTTCATCACTCACATGGATCCTTACTAGTCTTATTCAGCCAATTAAAATCCGAAAAGTGGCACTGTCACATACTGCAAAACCAACCTGCCAACTTGTACTCTAACATTTACCCTTCTAGCTTTTGCCCTTAAACATCATAGCTGTATAGCATGTTTAATTACTTCATCATCCCCATCTCAAATATCATTGGTCAATTTAAACCAACTTTGCTGTACTACATTCAAAAAATTTAAACTTAACATATATAATTGTGTTAAATATTCTGTTTATACAAAAAATGACCATATTAAAACAAATTATTAATTAAATTATTATTTTTTATTTATGATAGTGTATAATATATATTGGTTCACCTTAATGATTAATGCTTAAATGTATGTTTGGTTTTAATTCTATAAATGGTAAAAATATTTTTAGAGTGCAGAATTGATTTTGCAATAATTTTAATATGTTTGATTCCGTTAAAGTAGAATTGATTATGTCTTTAGAATTGATTCTATTTGAAGTTAGAATTTATAGTTTCTACCTCTATAATTAATTTTGAATAATTTTTATACTAAAATTTATTGTTTAAGCCATTTTTACGTAAATGTATCCAAACATAAATTAATTATACTAAATTCAATTATGTTAAAATCAATTCTACTAAACTCAATTCTCGTAAAATCAATTATGTCTACCGTCAATTCAAACACACACTAAATCTATTATGAATATTGCTAGAATGTTTTTTTAAATAACAACTTTTTTCAAAAAAATCTCAAATAACCACATTTTTCAAAAAAAATTACCAAAATAATTACTTTTCAAACAAACAAAAAAATTGTCACTCAGAAGAGACGTCATTCTGTGTGGCGCATGCATGTAAAATAGAGAGGAGGCGCCACATTGCATGACTTATCCTCATATGTAGTGTCATATAGTGTGGCGTATGCATGCAAATTTAAGGAGGATGCGTCACCTTGGGTGGCTTAACAATTGTGTTTGGTTTTCTATAAATGCAACCACCTATTTTCACCATTTTTTCACACCATTTCTCATATCCCTCTTAGAAAATGTCTTTCACTCCCTTGCCAATGTTTTTCACTCCGTTGCCAAGGTTTTCACTGATCAAAAGAGATGTGCATGTTATTTTTTCAGCGATAAAGCCTCCGATGAACATCAAACTCTAAAAGACGCAGACATTCGAGTATTTTCAGAGACACTTGATTCGCTGGTTGGAAGGAGACATTCCTGAAGGTGAATAGATCAGAAAAATTGAAAGACAAATTACAGTGAGGAACAAAAATTGAGTAAGCCGATCATGGAAAAAGGTGAGATGCGACGCTGATGTCATGATGATGATGCTTGGACCAGACAATATTGTGTTGATGGTTTTTATCTCTAAATATTATGATGTGTTTAATTGTTTTATCTGCTTATCATGTTGTTGTGTTTTGGGTTGTTGTCATGAGTTTGTTGTGTTGCAATTTTTTAATCCATTATATGAAGGTTGTTGTAATCAAATGTCAAATGTTACCATATGTGTTTATCTGCTAGTCGTATCTAATCCAATACTTTCAGTTCATAGGTTCTTAGGTTCTATTTCTAAATCTATCTGATTCCTTTTTCGGAAAATATTTATTTTTGTCGCCTACTCTATGTCTGTCTCAGCCTCTATGCGTTGTTATTCCTTCTTGAAAATTGTTACAAAACCACTTCATTTATTTACCCGTCTGCCTATAGTTCTTTCTCCATCTTAATTCACCTTAAAAATATAAGTCTTCACGTCCTTTTACTTTAACGAAGCTGCATGCAAATTCCTCCATCTTTTCTTGTCCAAATATTAAATGTTTAAGTTTTTTTCATGCTCACCTAAGTCACTTTCTCATGTCTCTCATTTCTATTTATACCTTCCTCAATTCATTCCACTTCCTCACCTAAGTTATTCCCTCACATATTCTCTCTTTTTATCTCACCTCATTTATGTCTTTTTATTAACATGGCAATGTTATTCCTAACCCTAAGAATCGTTCATGGGAATGATGACCTTCTAGAAATCATCATAGAGAAGAAACCAAAAATCCGAGGTGTTGGGAAAAAACTCTATATTGGTATCCACTTTCAAGGGTGGAACAGGTATCTGTCTATGCTGCGTGGATATGTTTATCCACATCTTGTAAAAGATTTCTGGATAAATTCTTTTGTCCATGTTGATGGTATCGCCATTTCATCCAAAGTCTATGGATTCCCAGTCTCCATCACTGTTGACACCATTGCTCAAGCCACTGGTTATCCTCCGGTAGGTATTACTATCATTGATGAATCTATTAGGTGCTTTCCTGATGTCAAGATAATCATTTTATTTGACTATAACTCTTCCTATCAACCCACAAATCCAGAAACACTAACTCCTGTTTCCAAAAGATGGTTTCTGTTCATTCTGTCAAATCTCCGTCCTCGAGGAGTGAGCAAGAACTTTTTGTATCATGATGATAAGCTCATGATTATGTGTTTGCTCAATCGTACTCAGCTAAACCTGTCCCAAATCATCTTCAACTACCTCAAGGAATCCACCATCATCTCCCAGGATATGAACAAATCTTTCATTCCTTATGGAAGGGTCCTGTCAGAAATTATCCATAATACTCACATTATGCACATTGTTCGAATAATTCGTGTTGGTCCTGATGTTGCCTTAGATATTGTTAACTGTGGAACCTTTGATGATCATTGGTTTAAATGATGTGTCTTTCTTGTTATCAATTTGTTTTGTTGTTTCTGGACTATTGTTCCTGTTGCTACTCCTGATTTATATGATCAATTTTTTTTGTCGTTCCTTTCTCAATTGACTGTATTCTCCTTATTATCATTAATGAAATTTTTCCGCATTATTATAATATCTTTATTTACTTTGATTATTTTTAAGAATAATTATAACGATTCCAAAGCTCAAAAGTGTATTATGTTAGAAAATTCTAAATACGCCCAAAAAAGTACAAAGTGTACAATACATAAACATGCATTGTAAAGGAATCTATACATGTTAATGATAAGCTTGACCCTAAAAAGTCAAAGCTAAGTGAACAAACTGCAGATGTAGAAATAAGACTTGCAGGTTCTAAAGAAATAACAAATACAAGTAACAAGGTTGATGAACCATCAGATCCATCTGAAAACTCAACTATTCAGAAACGACATAAACTGAGACAAGATCACTCTAAAGAACTCATTTTAGGAAACAAGACAAAACCTGTCTGAACAAGACCCACCTTCAAGCAACCTGAGAAAACCATTATAGGATTAGTTTCTCTAATTGAACCAATATCAATTACAGAAGCACTTCAGGATAATGAGTGGATCCTGGCAATGCAAGAAGAAATTAATCAATTCTCCATAAATGATGTTTGGGATCTGGTACCCAAACCCAAAGAGTTCACATTATAAGCACAAAGTCGATTTTCAGAAACAAGCTAAATGAGAAAGGTTAAATTGTCAGAAACAAGGCACAACTAGTTTCTCAAGGGTACAATCAATAAGAAGAACTAAAGTACTTTTTGGGGATTCAAATTATTCAATCACCATAAGCTACATATATTCATCAAGGAAAATACACCAAGGAAACTCTCAAAAAATTTGATATGTCAGAAAGTAAACCTGCTAAGACCCATATGAATCCTACATGCATTTTAGAAAAAGTTGAAAAAGGTTAAAAGGTTTGTCAGAAGCTATATCGTGGTATGATTGGATCTCTTCTCTATCTTACAACCACACGACCAAATATTCTATATAGTGTTTGCTTATATGCTCACTTTCAGTCATATCCTAAAGAGACTCACCTAACTGCAGTTAAGAGAATCCTCAAACATCTGAATGGTACATCTAACCTTGGCCTGATGTATGTAAAAACATCAGAGTAAGACCTATATGGATTCTATGATGCAAATTATGAAGGAAACAAGATAGAACATAAGAGTACTTCTGGAAACTATCAGTTTCTAGGAAGAAACCTCATTTCCTGGTCAAGCAAGAAACAGTCAACCATTGCACTCTCAACTGCAGAAGATGAATATATCTCAGCATCACTTTGTAGCATCCAGATGCTCTAGATAAAAATCAGATAGAGGACCACCAGATTCATAAAGAGAATTAACACTTAGAACATTGTCTAAGAAATAAAGAAGACAACCATATCTTATTTAAATTTGGTCAGACTTTCTAACCCTTCTTTATCATTTACTAAATACTTTTATCTCCTATGTCTTAGCCGCCTATCCTAAATTTTTTTGTTTTGTTCTAAGAGAAACCTGTAAAATTAATTATCTTGAAAATTCTCCATTCATCCCTTCCTCGTCATGAAATTATCTCTTTATTTTTATAAAAAATTGATTTACTAGTAATCTTCACGATTCCTTAACTACTCCATTTATTGTCTTTTATGTTTCAAATTTATTACTCCACTGACACTAAATCGTTTCGTCTCTAAATCTTCTATCTTCTTGTGTGTTTTCGTTCCCTATATTAACTTCTCTAGAGCATTAG